AAGTCAGATAACTAAGCAAAAGTTGTTGGGTTTGATTCCCGTATTGGTCAAAGAGTAAACCAGCTGATTTCTCAGTATTACGTAAAATTCTTTGTGTCGAAATTCTCGCTCTCGTTATTCGGAAACTAAGATCTGGATACCCTTTTAAAAGGTTCTAAAGGCTGGTCAGTATACCTTAAGAAGAATAAAAGGTGTATTTACATCAATAAAAACCCCCATTATTTTGACCCAACCGATTTTAATCAGCACACTCGATTCACACTTCTAACACAAACCCCTCTCTTGAAGCAGTCGGTAAAAACAATAGATCTGTTCACTTAACAAAAACACCTTTACAAATCAAATTAAACCATATCACAGACACTTAGAGTTTAATTTAAAACAATAAGCTTGAAATTTCGCACTTCAGCAAATATTCACACGGGCGATTTTTTTTAACCGTATTTTTTTATTAGTCAACTTTTATTCGAATTTCAATTTTATATCTTACGAAATAAAGACCGTATTTATATATGCACTTCTTTTTTATTTTGCGGAAGCAAATGTACTATGGTTAAGCGATATCAAACCTTAAATTTTAGTGGAATAACGTAGATTTTCGTTCAAAAGTTAGCGTAGTAATTGATTTCATTTATTCTATGGGGTCCGTAGCATTTAAATTTTATCGATTTTATTAGCTGCATGCAAAATTGGTAAATCGACAAGAGGCGTTTCGAAATTGGTACATTTTTATTGATATAAAAATAAAAATGCATGGAAGCCATTAAAAATGGATTCTTTTAGCAAATATCTATATATCTTACCTATACGATAGTCTTTAAAATTGCCCGAGATACTAGATTCGATTTCGATAGTTAAAGACATTGTTCCGTCATTAAATAGGGTATATGACTTTTTTTATTTTAATGTGCGTCTGGTAGATTATTTAAAAACATTAGACACGTATTTTTATTTTCTTACAGAAACGAATAGTTTCGAAAATATATTGATTTGAAATATCACATGACGTCACTTTTGAGTACGATTTATACTCTAAAATGACGTAGCTACTCTCTTAAACTTCGATTCGTTTTATCTAAGTATTGTTTTCTTATACGACAAAATAAAAAAATACATGTCTAATATTTTTTCATTACCTAACTGACGGACTAATTAGATTTTTAATTTTCATACTCTGTCATCATTCATATTCTCAATGATAGATTAAATTTATAATCTGGATTTATCCTTAATAAAATTGCTAATAGGTTCGCCGTAAAGTATCTACAGTTGAAATAATAAATAATGCGTATCTCATAGTTTAAAAGGTATAATTACGATAGCCACATAATATACATATATATGTCTAAAATTGAAGACCTTGCACACAGTGACAAAGATCCCATAGTTACCAAAAAACCCGTAACCTTTTTGTGCATCACCGAAAGGGTTTTCCGACACCCTCGCGGTACCCTAAAAAGGGTTAGACAAACAAAAAAACGATCTTAATTGTCTTAAGTGGTCTTAATAAAAAAAGGGATTGGATTCTTTTGAATTTTTGTTCAGTTAGCCCTTTGTTTCCCACAAGTAGGCCATTGTTGTTGTTCACAATGAATTTATAGAATACTCAGCAATAAAAAGTTGGGCTTAGATTTATATTTTTTTATAATTTCGTAGGTACCTACTTGAATTAATATCGAAATTTTCATTTTGCTATTCTTATGACACGTTTTTCTTTTTGTAAATTCGTCAAATAGTTGTAAAAAGTTGATTATCTACTTCTTCAATATGAAAAGATTGCATGAATTAGGATTAGCTTGAAATAAAACCTAGCAAAAATCGGTAAGTTACCTAAACCATAAGATTATTTATCTGCCTGTATCTACCCATCTTTTCAAGGAATAAAAAAAATCATCATCACTACATAGTATAAAACAAAGTCGCTATCCGCCGTCTTTCTCTCCCTATGTATGCTTTGCTTAGATCTTTAAAACTACGCAACGGATTTTAATGCGGTTTTTTTAATAAATAGAGTGATTCTTAAGGAAAGTTTATATGTATAATATGTATATGAATATTGAATCTGTGCGAAGCTGAGACGGGTTAGTTAGCCTATAAGTCAGGCCACAGCTGATCAAAGGCTTATTCGCACACGGAGACGGTTCTAGCATTAATCACCACGCTTGCTCAATGCGGGTTAGCTTGATTGAATAAACTGCATGATGCTATGATGTAAATATCTTATTTAAATATGAACCAACAACTTCTTAGTCGTTCTCTTCATTACTGAAGGTCGTGTCTAGTCTGGTGCACGCGTCACTTGATGCACAACCCACCTCCAAGTGACCCTATCCTCTGTGGTCATGGCTTGTAGAACTGTCAGGCCGGTGAGGGTTTTTACCACATCTAGCCAACGGGTAGGTCAACGACCGCGAAGTCTTTACCAACGTAAACTAGATACTAATACTAAATAGTAATTTAAATATAGAAGATCCAACAGTCACACTATTTATATATAGTTTTGTTGGACATGACGTAGATTATAAGGCATACCATGTACCTTTATTATCAATCAATAAATAATAAATAACGAACATAACCTGACCAATCAGCAACTATTATAGTACTATTCAAAGTCAAAGTCATAGCATTTATTTCAATTAAACCATATTTTGGTACTTTTGAAACGTCAACAAATAGAAAATTAATAATAGTCTGTCAGTGAAGCTAGGTGTTCATTCCAAAATGTAGATTCAAATGGAGAACAACGGGTAAGAAACTCCATTCGTTACTCTTTTTAAAAAAGTATGTTCTACAATGTCTAAATTAACCCAAGTAGAACCACAAAACAATGGTAGTTCCATCACCAAAGTTCACCAAACCAATTTGAACCTTATGGTACTATCATAGACCATATGGTGCACACCTGGTTTATTCAATTTATTAACATCGCTACCAATTTGACTAATTGAAAGACCATGCATTAACGGATTCAATTATACTGAACTACGGAATAAAACCCGCCATTTTTAATTGAATAATTTATTTATTGAAAAAATGTCATTATGATATGAAATTCAATTTTGTTGTTTTCCCTTTTTGGAGTTTGTTAATTAACTAGCTTTTGACACTTGGGTTCACTTGTATTACTATGTATTTAAGTTACAATACCAACAACCTAAGGGCTTTTTTTAAGGGGGAAAATCATCGAATGACTTCTCTCGCCTGTGTGAGGCGGGAGGGAGTGTCAGACTCTTACTGACTAAAAACCACCCCGTTCCTTCTCCTGCACGTCGAGCCGGAGCCCCGGTTCTCCGCGACAAAACCCTAGGACTAGGCTAGGACCCAATACTAGACTATGAGCCTCTTCTTACTTAAAAGGGTTTGCCAACATCTACACGCTTAGCTTAGAACTCGTTAATTAGATTTATTAGAGTCTAGTACAGTAATAAAAAACTATGTTCCGATTTTTGACATTAGTTTTATGGAGTTTCTGATACTTATGTAATTTCCCGCGCGCCTTAAAGAACCATCAGACTACCATAGATCCACTATCGCTGTAGGGCTGATACCCGATGAGCAGTCATAAAGCACTTATCGGGTTGCCGGGGCTCCGGGTTCAAGAGAGTAAGAACCGTGGTTTTTAGTCTGTTAGAGTCTGACACTCCCTCTCGCGTCACCCTTGCGGCAGAAGTCATTGGGTTATTGTCAATCCCAACCAACAAAAAAAAGTTACATTATTTCGGGCGTCAGTCGGCTCCCACCATAGCCACAAGAGGAGCAGAGAAGGTGACAAATGCATAGTACTCCTCCATCGTGACGTATATATTTGTAGGATAGCAAGATTATTTTATTATTACAAGTAAAGATAAGTCATTAATCATAATAATGAATGACACAGGTTCATATTAAAAAGTGCTTAATGATTTCTTAAATTCGTCACAGCACACCCTGGAGCGTTAATGGTGTCTTGAAGTTTTTATTGCCTTTTGATGGACTATTAGGATTTAACTTATAGGGTAAAATGTTATTAATGTTATTAAATTCACAGTAATTGATACCTATAGTAAATTCGCTGTACAGAATTTGTATCTACATAACATCACGACTTTATATCCTCGAAGGGGTAGATAGTGCACATAACGGCACTTAATGCCACTGTACAATGCAATACCCACTTTTCACTATTTATGTTATGAGTCCCATGTTATAGGGGGTGAGCCTATTCCTATATACTGGGTACAATTCTAGACTCCGTGCTACTACTGAGTTTTATTTTAATTCAGTAGTACTTTTTCCAACCCTTAAATCTAATCGGAGACCCCTTGCCCGGCAGCAGTACACAAGTTTACTATCATTAAAAAAATAAACTTTGATTACATGCCAGTAAAGTTCAAAATCTGTTATTATTTTATTAAGTTGTAAATATTTCAGACTAGCTTTTACCCGTGGCTTCGCACGCATCGCAAAAAGATAAAAAGCCTATGTGGCATATGCTAATACACACAGCGCCATCTATACCAATAATTTCGTTTTCCCTCGAGAATACCAAATTTTTCCGGGATAAAAAGTACCCTATTATTTAATCCAGACTTCTAACTTTACATCTGCAAAATTTCAAAGCAATCGGTCTAGTAGTTACGGCGTGAAGGCGGAACAAACAAACAAACTAACAAACTCACTTTCCGATTTATAATATAAGTAAGGATTTTACTTATTTGTTAGTTTAGTTACGTAATATTAATATTTATTCAAGTTAATTTTTGGTTGGATATATTTATTCATGAATATGTATTGATTTAATAAAAAATGCGAAGTGTTAGAATTTGATATATGTTAAGTTATTATGTTAAGTTCTCTTCTCAAATCTGTTAACAAAGTATATTCTGGAGTCATTCTGAAATGATACTTTAGTTTCCATACTACTAAGTATTAAGGACTGTTTTGCAAAGAAGTCCATCATATTAAAAACATTCACAAAACAATGTTATCTTCAACTAATTTTAAAATCTTGTTCGCAGTGAGACCACTCTGGGTCCGTCTTCAAGGTGGCAAGCGACCTCTTGTGGCTGGCCAGAGCACCGAGCTGGTCTGCCAAGCTGTGGGAGCCAGGCCTAAGCCAACCATATCATGGTGGAAAGGAGGAACCAGACTAAAAACTGTTAGAGAAACGGTAAGTCTAATATTTCGAGTTATAATGAAGATTTTGACATGTTACCACATAACACATAATTATGTTATAATTTTATGATCTTATGTGTTTTTGATTAGGAATATCTTGCTTTCTCTAACAAAGGCACTTATTACTAAGTTTAAAAAATATGCTGTCTACAGAAAATAATCATTTCTCAATTCCTTTCTTCTTTCTTTCATTCAAACTAACAAATATCACATAGGGGTCGTATACAAAACTGCCATGCGATGCGATGCGAATTTGCAACGCAGAAAATTACGACACGAATTGGGATGATAACAGGGTATAAATATTAAAAATCTAATAAGTCCGTAAGTTAGGCAATGAATTATTTTGTCGTATAATAAAACAATACTTAGATAAAAGGAATTAAAGTTTAGGAGTGGGGGCTAAAACGTCATTTCTACGTATAAAATGTACATAGAAGTGACGTCACGTGACATTTCAAATCAATATATCGTCGAAAGTATTTCTTTCAGTAACAAAATAAAAAATACGTGTGTAATGATTTAAAATAATCTACCAGACGTACTATAAAATAAAAATTAGGCATCTACCCTATTGCTGCGATGCGATTTCGACAATCAGCACAATAAAACATAACACAACTTAGTATCAAAACCAGATATTCACATGATAAGTCCATCACAACATCACAGCATTCCAACTTTACTAGCAATCATTGTTTACCTTGCATCCCATTTCACGCCAGATGGCCGTTCGAAACGATAAATACCAACTAGTGGTGCACTTTGGATAGTTTCGACCGAAACTTGAACTTTGGCCAAAGCCGAAACTCGTCTCATTATATTCATATAGGGTAAAACTTTGCTGGACAACTCTGTTTCTTGTTTAGGGTTGTAGACAAGTATGTTGGCATGTACGTACGTATGATTATGTTGTGGTATGTGTATATTATATTAAATCTCAATTACAATTTAGACACACACACTTACATCGTAGCTAAGTATATATTAGATAGCGGCAGAAGTCTGCTCACACTCTCGAAGCATAAAAGGGCATAATTATAATAACTAATTCAAGTTATGTTACCCAATGATTAAAAATAGCTCACAACTTTCACGACAGCAATCTATTCACAACAACACTTAAAGAAACTCACTTGTTATTCGCACGACTTAGTTTCGGCTTTAGTATAAAAAGCCGAGACGCCGAAACTTTTAAATTGGGACCACTCTAAAAGGGCAAGCGCCAAACAACATAATTCCGACTATAGCATTCTGATCGGATTTCTTTTGTTTTCTTTCTTTTAAAAGCCATTGAAACTGGGTATATCTTAATTAAGTTAGCTAAAGTAAAATGTCCTTTTAGATTAAGGTTTTAAGGTTTAATTCTAATTAATTTGCTCGTTTGTATAACTGTTGATAATGGGTCTACCGTGTACTGTCTTGATTGCAAGTCGATTGTTCTACAAAGAGATGTAATTCAAAGTCAATGTCAAAGTCAAGATCGGTTGCACTAAACCAAAAAGATATAGAACAAAAATATATACTAAAGTAAAATATTATATGAAAACTAAATCCAAATTAAAATTATTGAAACATGAAATTGCAATTCAATCAGTGAATTAATTTTTTCTACTAAAATCGTTGGTGCTATCATTTTAAATTAAATTAATGATGTTTATTTTGTCATTGCATTATTTTATAGTATTAATGAAATAGTTCCAATTTTAAGCATGATTTAAAATGAATGCAGAGCTCGAAATGTGAATTCCAGAAAGAGTTATAATATATTTGTGTCAATACTAGGTTTTCCCCGCAGTTTCATCCTCATTTTCGTCGTAAGCTGTAATAATAATAATGATATTGTGCAATATTTCAACCTGTCTGCTAAACTTAATCCAAATTTGATCAGCCATTACGGCGAGAAATAGTAGTTAACATCTAAATATCATTAGTTTTATATTTATAATCAATAAGACCTTAACTAGATTTATTTGCACACAAACAACATAATTGAACCATCCAAACATAGAAACCAACGCCATCTCTTATTCTACACCAGTACTAAAAAGTGAAACTGACATAAACACCAATAGATGTCACTACAATCTCGATGCCCTCATGGCAGGGAACCTAATTACCTAACATTACGACAATCTAGATTGACGTGGACAGCACAATGGTGGGCTGTCATTAAACTCGAGTTGTATATTGGAACCTTGAGGACAGAATCGGGAATCGAGAATCGGTAATGGTTTCGATTTGAATCGATTGATTGAATGGTAGGGTTGCGTTTGACGTGTTCCTTTTCTGTCTGATTGCCGAGATACGCGAGGTGGTTATTTTTAAAGGACATTTTCTTTGATGTTTTTGCGCTGATTTGCAACCTGGTTTTTTCTCATCAGCACGTGTAGAAATACACCTTTAATTCTCCGAAAAAGTGACTGAAATGCACATAAAGAACAATTTAAATTATTATATGACACGTCTACATTTACCGTTTGTTATTAGAGTTGCGCGTGAAAGCATTTGACATAATTATTGCCAATTATTAATAATAAGTATGCGACTCTGAAAATTGTTTTCTATTAACACTATATCAAGGAAAACAATTTCAACAACAACCTATAAGCGGCCACTGCTGACCAAAAGCTTCTTCTTACACGGAGAAGGTTTGAGTATTAAACTGTCAAACACCAAGCGGTCACCGGTGACCGCAACCTATTGTTCTTTAATTGTGTCTATAAATACGGTACTCGACGAGTTAATCACCACGATTGCTCAATGCGGGTTGACAATTTCAAACCAGAGACTGTATTTCTTGAAGGGTATAACCTGGGAGTCTTCAAGGCCCGAGTGAATAGGTTGCTTATGGGACGACGTGCTCCATCGTAGACCGCATCATCGCTTACCACCAGGCGAGATAGTGGTCAAACGTCGCCCCATCATATATATATATAAAAAAAAAACTTATAAGTATTTATTTTCCTGACGATGGTTTCCTTCACCGTTTGTCGGTAGTGTCTAAATAATCTTAGAAAGTACATACACCTCGGAAAAAGTCACATTGGTACTTGCTGTTGGTAGGTTTTAAACCCGCACCCTCGTGCATGAGAAGTCTTATACCTCTAGGCCACCACGACTATTTTTCAAGAACTGTCATATCTATACAGCGCGGATAACCTAACGGGTTACCGGGGCTACGGCTCGACATGCAGGAGAAGGAACGGGGTGGTTTTTAGTCAGTAAGAGTTTGACACTCCCTCCTCACCCAGGCGGGAGCAGTCACTCGACGATTTTCCCCCCTTAACTCGTCGAGTACCGGTTTTATAGACACAATTAAAGAACAATAGGTCGCGGTCACCGGTGACCGCTTGGTGCTTGACTGTTTAAAAAAAAATCTATACAAACCAATCTATTTAAACTTCTACTGACAGTATACAAGTTAGTTTATTCTGCCTACACTTCTGAATCGATAGGTCATTGTGATACGGTTTCCCCATTGTGTACGATCCATATTGTCATAGTTTCAACAAAAGGATCCAATCAGAATAAAGTGAAGAACTATCTATGCTTTCAAATTTTAGTGGATTACATTTTTTAATCGCCTTACCAGGCCGAAGTCACTGGATGATGTTCGCCCCTCAAAAAAATAACATAAATATTGGACTACAAAATAAAAATATGCCTACACACTGATTCGATCGTCGATTGAAAATAGAACTCTCCAATTTTTTTTAATCTATCTTTAGCATACGGCATTATGGTGAAGAAAAATATGATAAGGAAACTTGAACTGAAAGTTTTAATTCATAAGATTGAAAAAAGGACTGCCTCGTTGGCCGAGTGGTCGCAAGTGCGACTGCCGGGCTAGAGGTCTCAGGTTTGATTCCCGGGTCGGGCAAGGTATTACTGGGTTTTTAAAAAAAATCTCAGTAGTAGCATGGGGTCTGTAATTGTGCCCGGTATATGGCAATAGGCTCACCCCCTGTTACATGGCACTCATAACATAAATAGTGAAAAGTGGGTGTTAAATTTGTACAGTAGCATAATATGCACCTCTACCTACCCCTTCGAGGATAAAAGGCGTGATGTTAGGTTATTGAAAATATTAATTGACTTAGATTAAGCATGGTGAGTCGATGCCCCTTCTTCGAGATGGAAGGAGCCTTTGTCTAACCAGGATTACCTAATAACAAGAGGCATTTAGGTTTCAATATCTTTGTGTACTGGTTTAATATTACTGGAATTAAAAAAAATTCACGGAATCTGGAAATGTGCCCGGTACATGGCAATAGGCTCACCCCCTATTACATGGTACTTATAACATAAATAGTGAAAACACGGTGTTACGTTGTACAGTGACATTAAAAGCCATAACTGCCTATCCCTTTGGGGATAAAAGCCATGATGTGATGTATAATTTTTAATGTTTATTGAACCTCTAAGCGTGGGAGAACCATGCTTCGGCACGAATGAGCCGGCTCGACCGGAGTGATACCACGGCCTCACAGAAAGCCGTCGTGAAGCAACACTTGCGTTGTGTTTCGTCGTGTGAGTGAAGTTACCGGATCCCCAATCTCCCCAATTCCTGAATCCCCAACGATTCTCAAACTCCTAATCCCCAAAAGGCCGGTAACGCACTTGTAACGCCTCCAGGTGTCTATGGCTGACGCTGATTGCTTACCATCAGGTGATCCGTCTGCTCGTTTACCAGCTTATGCCATAAAAAACCTCGATTCTGTACAGACTAACCTTATTTTGTGAAGCAAGTATTGTAACGGCTTTATTTTAATATCCCTCTTTGTCCTCAGACCTCTACGGACGGCAACGTAACTAGCAGCATCTTGACGTTCGTGCCAACGATAGAAGATGCTGGCAGGGTGCTGTCCTGCAGAGCAGTGCAGCCTAGTCTACCACATTCTACGCATGAAGATGGGTGGAAGATGGAAATACAACGTCAGTAACTTTTTTTTAACCCATAGATCCCCAAGCGGTCACCGGTGACCGCTCTTCACTAATATTACATTACATTATAGACCTTATTTCCAATTTTTAGAGACTACTTTTGTATGACCAAATTTAGGGGATGGACCGGTCATCCTTTTTACGTGTTTGGAGTGTTTTTAGGAATGGTTTCTTTTATACTTGATAGTGACTATGTATCCCAGAAACTGCTTCAGTATGCTTTATTGAAGAGGTATTGGCAATTGCAGCTAATAGCATAATTAAACCCAAAATGACTGCCTCGTTGGCCGAGTGGTCGCAAGTGCGACTGCCGGGCAAGAGGTCTCAGATTCTATTCACGGGTCGGGCAAAGTATTATTAAGTTATAAAAAAAATCTCAGTAGTAACACGGAGTCTGGAATTGAGCCCGGTATATGGCAATAGGTTCACCCACTAGTAATAGTGAAAAGTGGGTGTTACATTGTATACATGTACAGTGGCATTAAGTGTCGTAAATGTGCACTTCTGATACCCACTTCGGGGATTTAAAGCATGATGTAAAGCCCAAAATTTTGTTGTAGCTATTTACCACGTATCGAAGAAAAACCGTTGGAATTTTTACTGCATTTGAGCGTCTTTGTTTTAGTATTGCAAAATAAAATACATTTAATATTATACCATTGAAAAGAACCAGGAGAACAATGGACAGAAAGAATGTATGTATATTTGCTTAAACGTTTTTATTTCTATACAGATTTACCGGTAGCCAAACTGGAGCTGGGCGCTAACCTGGACGCCAGCAAGGTGGTCGAAGGATCAGATGTCTACCTGGACTGCAGAGTACGAGCTAACCCATGGCATAACCATGTCTACTTCACGCATAATGTAAGTAATCCACGCTAGGTTACAGGTCTAATCTTTACATACATACATAACTTCACGCCTGTCTCCCATGGGGGTAGGCAGAGACTAAGGAACGCCAATTACTACGATTCTTAGATACCTCTTTCGCTTCATTAACAGTCATCAATCTTTTCATGCATGCTCGTCGGTTAAGGGTACTTTTAATTTGGCCCTTCTTTAATATATCGCCAATCTGGTCACTATATGTCCGTCTAGGGCGCCCTCTACCGACGGCTCCATTCATATCCGCTCTGTATACTTCTTTCGTTACTCTACTTTCATCCATCCTTTCTACATGTCCAAACCAGCGTAACATTCCCTTTTCAATCCTAATGTCTAATCTTTACTTAGTTATAAACCTCTGATAATAAGTCTGCTGGAACTGGTCTAAATGAAAAAATGTGACAATTGTCAAAACTCATATTGTCCCTAACAAAGGATGAGAATCTAGAGACTTGTAGAATTATACTAAAGTCAAGTCAAGGTCAAAGTCAAAATCAAAGCATTTATTTCAATTAAACCATAGTTTGGTACTTTTGAAACGTCAACAAATACAAAATAAATAATAGTCTGTCAGTCAGTCCGTCAGTGAAACTAGGTGAAGCTAGGTGCTCATTCCAAAATGTAGATTCGAATGGAGAAAAACGAGCAAGAAACTCAATTCGTTACTATTTTTAAAAAAGTATGTTCTACAATGTCTCTGATACATATTTCAATACTGTACGCATATGTAAGAACAATGCAAAGACACGCTTGACGCATTATACTAATAATAAAATAATAAAAAAAAACTTAACTTAAACGTCTAACATGGTGCTCACATATGCATACTGACAATCCATAGAAATAGTGCTTCTACACAAGAAAGAGGAAACTCTTTGTTTCAATAAAGAAAGAAATGCTCGATGCCATAAGGAAACTAGATTGTCTACATTAGAATTAAAATATTAAATTATGTATTATATTACCGGCTATTGGAATTTAACTACTGACTACATTTGAGTATTGTCCAGTGGAGCCGAAACAACATGCTGCCAAGCATATCTTCAAGATAATCTGTCAGTGTGTAGTAAGCTTGATTACATAATTCGCGCTTAATATATGTTTTAAATTTACTTTCATTGAGATCTAGTATGCTATTTGGTATTTTATTATAGAATCACTAAACTTCTTCAAGTCACGAGATTCAATTACTACGAAGTAATTATACTAAACTTAAAGTAATTCAGTAACTTCAGTATAATTTCTGCACTCTAGCAAAGAGACAAGATTCTTCTAATTTCTTCTTGGAAAACCATGGCGGGTTTTGTTGATTAGAATCCGATATTTTTTTATATTTTAAAAACTGAAATCTATTTCAAAGCCAGTTTGAAACTGGCATACATCACCGACTTCATCATAGAGCTGTACGAAGGATTTACCGTGGTTATTGTTAAAATAAGTGTGGGAGAGCCATGCTTCGGCACGAATGGGCTGGCTCGACCAGAGTGATACCACGGCCTCACACGTTATGTTTCGTCGTGTGAGTGAAGTTACTGGAGACCCAAATGCCTCCCTCCCCTATCTCCCCAATCCCCAACAATTCTCAAATTCCTAATCCCCAAGGATCCAGTAACGCACTAGAAACACCTCTGGTGTTTCAAGTGTAAATGGGCGGCACCGATTGCTTACTATCAGGTGATCCGTCTCGTCGTTTACCGGCTTATTCCATACGCATTTCATATTCAAATATCAAAAACACAAGCTAAATATAAAAGGCCTTTGCTAACTCATTTTTCCTTTTGCCAGGGTGTGGTGGTAAAACCAGGTCCTGGAGTTCTACTAGCCAACCAAAGCCTGGTGCTCCAGAGAGTGTCTAGGAAGGCGGCTGGTGCCTACGTGTGTTCAGCCAGAAACGCTTTGGGTGAAGGATCTTCAGAAAACCTCATTCTGGATGTGAAATGTAAGTAAAATAAGTTTATTTCCTTCTAAAGGATGTTATGGAGGTTCTAGAGATTATAAAATTAACTTATACATCCTTTAGGTTTTAAACGACAAATAATATATATAAATTATTAACTAAAAATCGCAGGTTACTCATGTGAATATATTGAGAACAGCTCTACTAGTTTCGAACCACAGAGGGGTTCTTCCTCATGAGCAGCGTGCGTGGTCTCGGCGATAGTAGACTGCGTACGCTGCTCATGCCGCTTTTAGTTAATTTAGTATGTCTCACGACAGTTATTATAAAAACATATATGAATAATATTAAACATATATGCACGAACTGCCAAATTTTGCAAAACAAACATTAATTTATTGAAAACTAAAGTTTAACGCGGATACCATCTCACATTTATGCTCCATAACTCGAAGAAATACTATAATTTATGTCTTTTAAGTTGTAAACTATAAGTTTCCATGTTGCCTACTTCTAGTGATAGTATCGATCTATATATAATATATCACCCAACTTTTTGAATCTATGTTTTAAAATTTCTGTTACTTTGTAGAAATTGTGCATTTATTTTTTCAAAGTTGCCCTTTTTTATGACGGGGGAAACCTTCAAAAGGCACATAGCTTTTTGGGGAAAAAGTATTCGTATTCCTTATTAAAATCACCACGGTGGCCACCATCAGCACTTGTAAGAGGCACCGGGTCCTTAGAAAGAAAGAAAGAAAAATTTTATTTCACAGGCTAAAACAGGTGACACATACAGATTTTACACATAAGTTTATATATCTACTAATGTCCCAAGTATGCGGTGAAATGGGACCAGTTCAGCATGTGCAAGACGGGGCTTCGCGCTGTGATTCTACTGGCCCTTTAAGTGACTATTTCGAAGAGACCTGCTCTGGAGCTTCCACGGTTTAAGCGTTGCCCTACAATAACGCATTCTTTTATATCTTGAGAGCTAGTAGGTTATACATAGGACCTTGCGTCCAGACCCGAAACAACAGCTTTAGGATATTAAATTTCTGACGCCATTTTGTTTATCAACAGTTGTGCCAACCTGCAAGTCTACACAACCGATCGTGGTGCGGGCAGCCAGAGGGGAGATCATTGAGATCGACTGTGATCTGGACGCTAATCCAAAGGTAAGTGTCAATGATGTTTCAACAGCTGGTCTACTTATTTGTCGTTTTTAGGAATAGATTTTGGAAGCATTTTGCGTCCATGAACTTATGTTAAAAAGTTCCGGATTCAGTGAAGATGTTTGAATTTTTTTTCGCTCTGTTTCGAATATCACACAAAAGGTTTACCCAGCTGTTCTAAATAAATAGGGATGATGCCTAAAATAAATGAGTATGAAAATTAAAAATCTAATTAGTCCGGCAGTTAGGTAATGAAAAATATTAGACCGAATTGTTTTATTTTGGTATACAAGAAAACAATACTTAGATATAACGAATCAAAGTTTAGGAGTGGGAGCTAAAACGTCATTTCTACCTAAAAAACGATCATAGAAGTGACGTCACGCGATATTTCAAATCAATATATCTTCGAAACTATTCGTTTCCTTAAGAAAATAAAAAATACGTGTCTAATGTTTTTAAATACCTCTAATCTACCAGACGGACATTAAAATAAAAATTTGGCATCTACCCTATTATATTTGGATTTTTATTATCTCGGAGCCGATTTTCAATTATCAGTTATTAATAACATTTGACAATTTTTAGTATGGAAGAATTGTCAAATACTCAATGTTATTCCTCCTCAGTTAAAATTTATCTGGCGTTGGTTAAATCGTTGGCCGAGTGGTCGCAAGTGCGACTGCCGGGCAAAGGGTCTCGGGTTCGATTCCCGGGTCGAGCAAAGTATTACTGGGTTTTAAAAAAAAATCTCAGTTTTAACTCGGAGTCTGGAATTGTGCCCGGTATATGGCAATACTCACCCCCCCACCCTATTACATGGAAGTCATAATAAAAATAGTGAAAAGTGGGTGTTACATTGTACAGTGGCATAATGTGCACCTCTGCATACCCCTTCGGATATAAAAGGCGTGATGTTATGTGGTTAAATCGGCCCTCGATCGACTAGTGTTTTACCTTTTGGCTCATTGATAGCACAACCAGTAAAAAATACATATATCAATTAAAACGTAAAAAGCTATGTCATATCGGATATTAAGTGTTAGAAAGATCTAGATAAAAGCCTAGGCCCTAGATTTTCAAATTTGACATAGTCATCAAAGGTGCCACATTAAAAGAATATTAGGTATTCTTAAATTTTAATAAAACGCTGAGTAACCCATTAATTGAAAATTTACGTCACCATTAGCCATGTTCGAATGTACATGGAGTGTGAACACAGAAGGTTCACTACATTAAATTCATAAGTTTTACACAAATTATTTTAATGACATTGCAATGCGAGTTTTCAGCAGATATAAAACTAGAATAATAATATGAAAACTTGACTAACGAATCCACTTTTTGTTTTTATAATATTACATAACATAACATAACATTATGCCACTGTACAATGTAACACCCACTTTTCACTATTTATGTTATGAGTCCCATGTAATAGCGGGTGAGCCTATTGGCATATACCGGGCACAATGCCAGACTCCATGCTACTACTGAGAATTTTTAAAACCCAGTAATACTTTGCCCTCCCCGGGAATCGAACCCGAGACCCCTTGCCCGGCAGTCGCACCGGCGACCACTCGGCCAACGAGCAGTATAATATTTATTGTAAGAGATACTAAACCAACTAAAAATAGCGGGGTACTCAAATGAAAATACTAAGGAAAGCTCTACTAGTTTCGAGCCACAGAGGGGCCCTTCCCCATCAGCAGCGTATGTACATGATCGCTGCGGTCAGTAAGCTGCGTAACATCATTAGTCCACTTTTTGCTTAATTGCTTTTAGAGGCATTCTTATTTACGAGGTAAAAAACAACAGCTTCATCGAGGATACAATTCAGCCATTGGTCTGTGGACTGTAAGATTCTCATCTCACCAAAACCATTGTGATAATCATCGTCATAATATATATAAGGAAGCTACAGATTTTCTAAATGGACTAATTTCTAAAATCTTGATTGTGCAACGCCTGTTAGGGCAGTCAATAACTTAGTAGCAATATTAAATGTGGGAGAGCCATGCTTCGGCACGAAAGGGCCGGCTCGACCGGAGTGATACCACGGCCTCACAGAAAACCGACGTGATACAATACTTGCGTTGTTTCGTCGCGTGAGTGAGGTTACCGGAGACTAAATTACCCCCCCCCCCCCTAACAATCCCTGAGTCCCCAATAATCCTCAAATTCCTAATCCTCAAAAGGCCGGTCACGCACTTGTAACACCTCTTGTGTTTCGGGTGTCCATGGGCGGCGCCGATTGCTTACCATCAGGTGATTCGTTTGCTCGTTTACCGGCTTATTCCATAAAATAAAATGAGTTTCGAAGGTACCCAATATCGTTATACTTTTTTCATAATTTACTCTATGGCTATCAAAGGCATCAAGAATCGAGTCTCAAGGTCACTAGGCCGAAGTTTCATGTAAAGAATGGCTTTGTAACCACCGCACCGTGGTGGCCTTCGACTACCCTTGACTTTCCTGTCTTTTATATATTTTGTGACATAATAATTTGGTAATAAGGTTGTCATTGGACTAACATAAGAATATAATCATTTATTCCACAAAAACTTAAATAAAATTAAAACTAACTATAACAACTATAAAATATATACAGCTTAAAACAACGTGGCAATGCTGGCAAGTGCCAGCCTTCTGGCTACTTTCCCCACTGACGTCGATGCGTACGAATTTTTCGACGAATGCTTTATGTAAATTGTTGTTTTTTTTAATTAATTTTTATTTTAAGCTGTATATTATAAGGTTTAAATCTAATTTAGTTTTAGTAAAATTATTAGGTCTATCGATGTATTAATCTGTCAAACACCAAGCGGTCACCGGTGACCGCGACCTATTGTTCTTTAATTGTGTCTATAAAACCGGTACTCGACGAGTTAAATGGTTGAATTGTGAATGTGGTCCATTATGTGTTGTTTTTTCGGTCAAAAATGTCGGGCAAATTATATCTACAATTTTCGTGTACTTTTTACCTACTAATATTATAAATACAAAGTTGTATGAGGATGTATGTACATATGTATGCATGTTTGTTACTCTTTCCGTAAAAACTACTGGACAGATTTGGATGTTTGGTAGACAGATCTTGAGTAAGACATGGGTAATTTTTACCCCGGGAACGTGGACATAGCCATTAACATACGCTTGTACATCGAGTCTCTCATCTCTGAATACTTCAGTATTCAATATTATAAACTCACATTAACATACGGCTAGCATATATCGTACATAATACGTTAATATTTTGAGATACCATAAAACAACCAATTGCGTACTTACACGACAAGAAACAAGCAATATCAATACCTAAGTACATGTACATATCAATGATTTTCCCGTACATTAATATTAATATACAAATCTTTCTTATTACTTGATTTTAATATCTTCGTACATAGTAGGTCTCCTTAAGGCTTGTACAGATAAGCGAGAGAGGATGAAAAAATATTTTGAATTGTGAAAACATTTACGAAGAATTTAATCATCAACATCCCTTAAGTCTATTGCTGGCCTAGAAGGCTCGTCTACATAGTATGTAGGTGGTGTAGTTCATACCTGTTTTTTTGTTTGAGGGGGGAAAATCATCCTATGACTTCTCCCGCGAGGTGATCCGCTATCTAATGCATAAGGAGCGGGCGTCTTAAACCTCCGGGCCACCACGACATTCGTCTGTACAGACCCTTAGAATAAGAATTCATATCTTAGCACCGGGAATTTTTGGTTTTTAATAACGATATGTTCAAATGTTCGTAGAAAAGGGGACGAAAGAAAAATATTGTACCTATATGATGAGTTCAATGCTTAAGGCACCTCAATGTTACTAGGGAAAGTAATAACATCACAACTTTTATTATTTGTAAGAGTCAGTACTTACAAATGTATCATTTACTTTATATATTTTCACTGTCCAATCCTGACTTAAGTGACTTTGTGCTATTATTGGGAATTTCGAAAATTATTCCTAGAACTGCCTCGTTGACCGAGTGGTCGACAGCCAGGTCACGGATCGGGTAAAGTACTACTGGATTAAAAAAAAAACATTCTCAGTAGTAGCACGGAGTCTGGAATTGTGGCCGGTATATAGCAATAGGCTCACCCCTATAATATGGGACTCAGAACATAAATAGTGAAAAGTGGGTGTTACATTATATGCACAGTGGCACTTAATGCCGTAATGTGCACCTCTGCCTAGCTCTTTGGGGATAAAAGACGTGATGTTATGTTTTGTTTATGTTTCTAGAAAGTGACATAACATCCCACTTTTAAATCTCCAAAGATACGAGTATATAGACAGTGTTACAATCCTTACTAATATTATAAATCGGAAAGTGAGTTTGTTTGTTTGTTTGTTCCGCTTTCACACCGTGCTTCGAATTTTTAGACGTAAAGTTAGAAGTCTAAATTAAATAATAGGGTACTTTTTATCCCGGAAAGATTTGATATTCTAAGGGGAAAATAAAGTATTGGTACAGATGGCGCTGTGTGTATTGGTATATGTCACAGAGGCTACTTCTTATCCTTTTGTGACGCGAGCGAAGCCGCGGGTAAAAGCTAGTTAAATATAATCTCCAAAGATATATAGTACAAAGTTCAATAATAACACCCAGTTTTTGCCAGTTATAATGGTCAAATATACCATATTATCATGTAATAAAAACCAGTACTTCTTAGCTACTTTACTCCACTCAGGACTTGAAACCTCCTCGACATTCCTTATTCGACCACGCATCCGACCACTATTAACTCGTCGAGTACCGGTTTTATAGACACAATTAAAGAACAATAGGTCGCGGTCACCGGTGACCGCTGGGTGTTTGACAGTTTAACAAGGTGAAATAAACTAAACATTTTAGAAAATTAAACGCTGAAAAGTTACAATACATCCCTGTTTATTTTTAAGGCGGGAAAATCATCGAATGACTGCTCCCGCCTGGGTGAGGCGGAAGGGAGTGTCAGACTCTTACTGACTAATAACCACCCCGTTCCTTCTCCTGCACGTCGAGCCGGAGCCCCGGTTAGCCATTATACATCCCTGTTAAGAAACGTAGTTTTTGAAACTATGACTCAGTATTTATTGTTCATAAATAAACCGTTAAGTATTTAAACAACCATAAAATGTCAGTTTAAAATAAAACATTAAAACCACAACCCTTAATTTTCAACTTTATATCCAACGGTAAAACGCACATTTTCGAATTGTTACGAAAAGTGAGCTTCATCAAATTTTATCAATATTGACATTTTCAAAATGGCCGCCGTACAGTAACATTGTTATTTTCAATTCCGCGTGTAAAAATATTACCGAACAGTTAGTTAAAATACTGCAAAAAGTTAAACTTGTATTTATTTTTACTACGAACGTAAGTTACTGGTTTTTTTAACTGATAGTATGGTTTTAACTACGTTTTTTTTATCAAGCTATGTTTCGCTGAACACATGAATTATTGTCGAAAAGGTTTTATTTATATTTAGTGTACACACGAACTGTATTTGTCAGTGGTTTATTTTTTGCTGTAGATCTTTATAATATATATATGTATAATTCTTCTGTGAGTGTGTTCTCTCAAACGACTGGACCGATGTTGATGAAATTTTTTGTGTGTGTTCAAGGGGATCAGGGAATGGTTTAGATTCACAAATCAGCAGATGGCGCTGCAGTCGATTTCTAGGTTATTTATCTATACCTATTATTACAGGACAACGTCTGTCGGGTCCGCTAGTATACTTATAATATGTTTTACAAGCCAGTAAAAAAATTGTTTATGTATTTAAATAGTTATTTTTAGTTTTTTTTTATTGAATTTTTATCTTTTGTATCTTAAGTGGTCTATATTTATTATTTTTTTTTTCATTTAAATTGTAATTAGTTCAATAATTTAAACTGAATTTGATGGCATACTTCGGCACAACTGCATGTCATAGGCGTATATAAATGAACTAGTCTTGCGTGGTTACAACCGCTGTTCGGCTCTTATTATCATAACGTGTTCTTCGATAAATGCACTATCCAACACAACGAGAATTATTCAAATCGGACTAGTAGTTTCGGAGATTGACGCGTTCAAACCAACAAACCCTTGAGCTTTATACATCAGTATATAGATTCTAATAGGGTAGATACCTAATTTTTATTTAAGGGTAATGTCCGTCTGGTAGATTATTTTAAATCATTAGACACGTATTTTTTATTTTTTTACAGAAACGAATACTTTCGATGATATATTGATTTATACGTAGATATGACGTTTTAGCCCCCACTCCTAACCTTTGATTCGTTTTATCTAAATATTGTTTTATCATACGACAAAATAAAAAAATACGTGTCTAATATTTTTTCATTACCTAACTTACGGACTAATTATATTTTTAATTTATATACCCTGTCATCATCCCAATTCTTCCATCTGTATAAAGGTCAACTCTATTGCCCAACAAACACTAATAATACAGAAAATGAGGCTAAAAGTTATGAACAATCTCAACAAACGGATAATATAAGAACATACCTGGACAGTCCCAACGCGCGTCTCTCATGAATAATATAATACTCTATCAGCGTGGATACATTACCTCGTATATTTTACCCTATACCTAGTTTTCTTAGCTATTCTGCGGATAGACAAAAACTACGTATATTTTCCTTTCTGCTTGGCTGAGATTAAAAGACCATTTTTCGATGATATTCCTTTTTTTTGGTGGTACATGTAGTCTGGAATCAAGTCTTGTGTACTTATATAACAATAATCATCTTAAATAGCGGGTTTTAAATTTATAGCATAACGTCGCGCGTTTTTATTCCCGGAGGGGTAGGCAGAGATGCACATTACGGCACTTCATGCCATTGTACAATATAACATCCACTTTTCACTATTAACTATATTATGAATCCCATGTAATACGGGTTGAGCCTATTGCAATGTACCGGGCACAATTCCAGACTCCGCTGCTACTAAGATTTTTTTTAAAACCCAGTAGTACTTTGCCCGATCCGAAAATCGAACCCGAGACCCCTTGCCTGGCAGTAGCATATTACACTAATAAAATTATTTCAGTTCTATTAAAGGTGATGACCATGACGATACTATATACGACTACAGATCTTGAGAGTTGGGTTTTTCCGCTCAGATTATCCCAAAGTCTTCCCAAACCCCTACGTGTAAACAATGCTTCATAATTCAATATTAAACAACATCATCCCAACAGATAAATCACCATCTCTTTCTAACAGGGAAATAGAAAATCATCCGTCATCAATCCCATAAATAATTCGCAATGGTTTATTTGAAAACACATTGATTTCAACGTCCAATATTAATTGGTATCGCCGCCATTTTGAAAGACCGTTACAACAAGCGCAAGCGGCCATTTTGATTATTTCAATTTGGAATTAACAACGTTCCTTTTTGTAATAATTGATGCGTGTTGACAAAAGCGTATTATTCAGTTTATTTGTCGTAATGAGTTCCACTGTCTCATTTTAAATCGGAAATGAATATTTTGGGTGATGCATTGAGTGATTGACGTAATGATGTTAAATGTAATTTATCTGTTCTTACTATTAGTGATCTGGATGTGTTTGTTTGTTTCTTTGTCTTTGCTGTTTTGTATAATAACCTATGTTTTTCTTTGTTAAAGCCGTATGTAAAAAACACACAACGTACCTAAGTTATATTTGTGTAAAACTATTACATAGGCCGAATGGAGTGATACCACGGCCTCACAGAAAATCGACGTGAAACAACGCTTGCGTTGTGTTTCGTCGTGTGAGTGAGGTTGCCGGAGGCCCAATTACCTAGTCTACCGTAGCCCCGTCTCCCGAATCCCTGAATTCTCCGCAATCCTCAAATTCCCAATTCCCAAAAGGTACATGGGCGGCGCCGATTGCTTACCATCAGGTGATCTGTCTGCTCGTTTACCGGTTTATGCTATATACAAAAATAACATGTCGTCTTCGCTTAAATCTCTAATGGAAACATGGTTTAATAAGTAATGTGTAATAAGTACATTATTTTAGTTTTATTTCTGAACAACTGAACCTACATATACCTACTATTTTATTAATTACCCTAATTAAATCAAAGTATCTAGGTTTGCAATCTCATCTCTAACTAAGAGTTGGACCATGATATTAATAACGTAAACACGTTCCATAATGTACGTATGTTTTGTCAACAGGAGTCAATGTCATACCACTGGTGGTTCAACAGTTCCGCTCACAGCAAACACGAGCTCACCACGTCACCGATGACCACTATAACCAATTTACCGGGTGAGTAATCAGTATCTATCTATTATTTAGTCGCGGAGAACCTAACGGGTTACCGGGGCTCCTGCTCGAAGTGCATGAGAAGGAACGGGGTGGTTTTTAGTCAGTAAGAGTCTGACACTCCCTCCCGCCTCAACCAGGCGGGAGCAGTCATTCGATGATTTTCCCCCCTTAAAAAAACCCCTCTCCCACTCCTCACTATGTAAAACTTCACATTATTAGTAAATAGGTATATTTTTCATTTACGTGGCTAAGTTACAAACTAAATTCTGACAATTTATTCTAGGTACCTACGTGTACATGGTAAATACATCATCAGACTACGGATGGGTGCAGTGTTCGGGAACCAACTCCGTGGGACGGCAGACGAAGCCGTGTCTCTTTCATATACTGCCAGCTGGTAAGTGATGTGATATTCCTAGAAGGGGTAGGCAGAGTTTCACTTATTGAGAGATTGGGGTTGCATTTAATTGTGGGAGAGCCATGTTTCGGCAGGAATAGCCCAAGTCGACCTGAGTGATACCGCGGCCTCACAGAAAACCGATGTGAAACAACCCTTGCGTTATGTTTCGTCGTATGAGTGGGGTTACCGAAAGCCGAGTTACCCCCCACCCCAATCTCAGAATCTCAAACAATCCTCAAATTCCTAATACCCAAAGGTCGGTAACGCACCTGTAACGCCTCTGGTATTTCGAGTGTCCATTCGTAACGCCGATTGCTTACCATCAGGTTATACGTTTGCTCGTTTACCGGATTCTCCCATTAAAAATGATTTCCCTAATTTTTTCGTAACAAATTTGGGGAGACAAGTCGATGATGTGATAGTTTTAAACTTCGTAATATTTAAGAAAATTACAAAAATCAAGAAGCTCATTAATAATTAATTATTGAATATTTCTGAAACTGGTGTCGAACCTAGCTTAAAGCGCTTGTTTTCATTCTATCAGATATTTATAGCTATATTGGACTTGCATTTCAATCAAACAGTAAGCATAACTTATTTTTTATTTCACAGAACTTTAACACTTATCATCTTCTGTACAGATAAGCCGTCGACACCAAAATCCTGTGAGATTACCAACGTGACATACGACTCTTTGACTCTGAACTGCACTCCAGGACATGATGGCGGGATCCACCAGTCGTTCTTATTAGAAGTAAGTTGAAATAACTCAATGGTGACAATTTAGTGATAATTTATAGCTATCAGAATCATGAACCACTTAAAACTGGTATTCAATATCAGTAGGTACCTATGAAAAATATTATTACTAGTTCAACTGCGGGGTTGATGCGGTGGCTGGGAACAATAATATTGTAAACAATAACATTGCATTATACGCCTGTGTATTCCTTCCTTTTTTGTGAATTTTAAGTTACATAATTATAATAGAGATCAAGCTCTCAAGAGATTGCCATAGATAGGGCATGAATCCTGACTTCATGTAATTATAATATGTCAAACCTAATACGTTTCTCACGATAGTATTTACTCGACAATTGGGTTGATTAACAGGGTATGAAAATTAAAAATCTAATTAGTTCGCAAGTTAGGTAATTAAAAAATATTAGGCACGTATTTTTTATTTTGTCGTATAATAAAACAATACTTAGATAAAACGAATCAAAGTTTAGTAGTGGGGGCTAAAACTTATAAAATGTACGTAGAAGTGACGTCATGCGACATTTCAAATCAATATATCGTCGAAAGTATTCGTTTCTGTAAGAAAATAAAAAACACGTGTGTAATGTTTTAAAATAATCTACCATACGGACATTAAAATAAAAATTAGGCATCTACCCAATTGATTGATCTTAGAACCACTCGATCAAACTAATAACAAAACCAAAGAAACCTGTAAAAGCTAAACAAAAAAAAACAAAAAAACTAAACAAAACCACTAATATCATTTGTCTTTACTCTCACACACTAAAGAAACGCTTTCAAAAAGCATTTTATGTCGTTCAAGATTTATTTATTTTCGAACTAAGTGACAGTAATAAGACATATCGATTCCAAGTGATATATTTATACTTAACTCTACGAAACCTAACAAAAGATAAACTATATTTCTCTCAGAAAAGATACCGTGCTCCCTTTTGTCTTTTGATAATAAAATTCGTAAAAGATATCATAATTTCAATTTGCTTTCTAAGAATTTCTTTGTATGTAGAATCAAAGTATCAACATGATAATTTGTAGACAATGTTGTTTGTCTATTCTAAATGGAACTAGCTTTCTATAATAAAGAGACATCTTAGAAATATTTGTTTGAGTGTAATTTTAACCCAAAATTAGATTCAATTGTGGGAAAAAACCTGGCTTTGGAAGGAGCACAATTTTACAATAAAATACCGTCATTTATAAGAAAACTACACTCTTTACATAACATAACATCACGCCTTTTATCCTCGAAGGGGTAGGTAGAGGTGCACATTATACCACTGTACAATGTTACACCCACTTTTCACTATTTATGTTATGAGTCCCATATAATAGGGGGTGAGCCTATTGGCTTTACACTCTTTTACAACATTCAAAACCGAACTAATGTCGTGGTGGCCCGGAGGTTTAAGAAGCGCGCTGCCCACGCACGAGGGCGCGGGTTCGCAACCTACCAACAGCAACTACTAATGTGACCTTTTCCGAGTTATATGTACTTTCTAAGCTTATTCAGACACCATTGACAAACGGTGAAGGAAAGCATCGTGGAAAACCTGAGCTTACAATTTGTAATTATAAGTTGGAAATCGCCAACCTGCATTGAGCAAGCGTGGTGATTAATGCTCAAACCTTCTCCGTGTGAGAAGAGGCCTTTGGTCAGCAGTGGCCACTTATAGGCTGTTGATGTGAAAACTGAAGCGCTTCGCATCAAGCTTTCTTGTGCGTACTGCTAAGTGGTATTCTTTGCTAGAATCTGTATTTTCTGAAGGGTATAACCTGGTTGTATTCAAGGCCCGAGTGAATAGTTTGCTTATGGGACGACGTGCTCCATCCTAGACCGCATCATCGCTTACCACCAGGCGAGATAGTGGTCAAATGTCGGCCCACCAAAAAGTTGTCTATAGACTAGTGCCAGTTATAGTTTCAACCAATTGGATAATATTAACTGCTCAAATTAATATACTTACTAAAAAAAACCTTCAAAACATCTCGACTTTAATCCTTACTAATATTATAAATCGGAAAGTGCGTTTGTTTGTTTGTTTGTTCCGCTTTTACGCCGTAACTACTAAACCGATTGCTTTGAAATTTTGCAGCCGTAAAGTTAGAAGTCCAGATTAAATAATAGGGTATCCTTTATTTATATTATTTATCCCAGAAAAAATTGATATTCCCAAGGAAAAACAAAAGAATTGGTATAGATGGCGCTGTGTGTATTGGTATATGTCACATAGGCTACTTTTTATCCTTTTGTGACGCGAGCGAAGCTGCGGGTAAAAGCTAGTGTCTACATAAAGTCGCGGAGAACCTAACGGGTAACCGGGGCTCCGGCTCGACGTGCAGGAGAAGGAACGGGGTGGTTTTTAGTCAGTAAGAGTCTGACACTCCCTTCCGCCTCACCCAGGCGGGAGAAGTCATTCGATGATTTTCCCCCCTTAAAAAGAAAAAAGTGCCTTCATAAAGGCAGAAGCAAAGTCCTACATTATAATGTTATTTGAACCCTTTACCTTAACTGATAAAGTCTCTTTTTCAACCAGATCTTCGACATGGCAACAGGGTTGCTTCTCCGAAACGTAAGCAGTGATGATCCAGAGTTTGAAGTGGCAGGGTTGTCAGCGAGCAATTCTCTAGCAGTGTCCGTCAGAGCATTCAACAAGAAAGGATTTAGTGAAGCGTTAACCCTAACTTCTAGTTTGCTGAAATACCCTCAACGGCATACAGGTATGAATTTAATATGTAACGCCAAACCAATTTTAAATGAAAATAATCCTTCTACGTTTACCATCGTGAGACGTGGGACCATTTATATTTTTATTACATATCATCACGCTTTTTATCCCCGAAGGGGTAGGCAGAGGTGTACATTATGCCACTGTACAATGTAAGACCTACTTTTCACTATTTATGTTACGAGTCCCATGTAATAGGGGGTGAGCCTATTGGCATACCGGGCACAATTCCAGACTCCGTGCTACTACTGAGAATTTAGGAATGGAGTTTCTTGCTCGTTCTTCTCCATTCGAATCTACATTTTGGAATGAGCACCTAGCTTCACTGACGGACTGACTGACAGACTATTATTTATTTTCTATTTGTTGACGTTTCAAAAGAACCAAACTATGGTTTAATTGAAATAAATGCTTTGACTTTATAAAAAACCCAGTAGTACTTTGTGCGACCCGGGAATCGAACCCGAGACCCCTTGCCCGGCAGTCGCACTTGCGACCACTCGGTCAACGAGGCAGTCATATTATTAATCTATATAATTTAAGAGGTCGAGTGAAATGCCATAGTCTCAAAAGTATTATCGTTAATACTAGAATGAAGTATGAGATTTCAAGTCTGTGTTACTACTGAGGATTTTCAAAACAGCGAAAATTACTTAATAATTATTTGCAAAACCCAGAATTAAACCTGAGACCCTTGCGCATCAGTCAAAGTCAAAGTCAAAAGTCAAAGCATTTATTTCAATTAAACCATAGTTTGGTACTTTTGAAACGTTAACAAATACAAAATAAATAATAGTCTGTCAGTCAGTCCGTCAGTGAAACTAGGTGAAGCTAGCTCATTCCAAAATGTAGATTCGAATGGAGAAGAACGAGCAAAAAACTCCATATCCACTCCATACAGTTATGCGTGTATTCAATGTACGAGGCATTTTTTTCAATTTGACTTATTTTAATTGCTCATACGTACTTATAATTAATTTCTTATCAATTATAAATTTTTTAAAACTCATACTTCTTGATTTCTCTTTCAATGTTAATTTGCAACCCTAAAACAAGGAGTATAAAGTTTATAGTTGTTGCAGCTCAAGTGCCTGTGAAGGTGGAATTAACAACGGTACTGATCATCGTGCTGGGAGCCGTTGGAGTCATCGCCACCATGACAGCAGTCCTAGCAATTGTGTTCTGCTGCAAATACTGTAATAAACGAGAGAGTAAGTTGTAGTTTTTTTACATAACATAACATCACGCCTTTTATCCCCGAAGGGATAGGCAGAGGTGTACATTACGGCACTTAATGCCACTGTACAATGTAACACCCACTTTTCACTATTTATGTTATGAGTCCCATGTAATAGGGGGTGAGCCTATTGCCATATACCGGGTACAATTCCAGACTCCGTGCTAATACTGAGATTTTTTGAAAAAGCCCAGTAATACTTTGCCCGACTCGGGAATCGAACCCGACACCCCTTGCCCGGCAGTCGCAATAGCGACCACTCGGCCAACGAGGCAGAAAAAATATAATTGTAGTTTTTTATTAATCTATATATATTATTTAAGCGTGGAAGAGCCATGCTTCGGCACGCATGGGCCGGCTCGACCGGAGTGATACCACGACCTCACAGAAAACCGATGTGGTTACCGGAGGCATAATTACGCCGCTCCCCCTCCCCCAATTTCCGAATCCTCCACAATCCTCAAATTCCCAATTCCCAAAAGGCCGGTAACGCACTTGAAACCTCGGTGTTACAGGTGTCCATGGGCGGCGACGATTGCTTACCATCAGGTGATCCGTCTGCTCGTTTACCGGCTTATACCATAAAAAAATATTAATTTAATTTTGATAGAAATGAATTTATAATAATAAATTAACGCCACAGTAAAGCAGCGTATTCATTTACTTTTGAACTGACGCCGCGAATACATTGCGCCTACACTACATCTGCGCAAACATACGTACATACGTCTACATACGTTTATCAAACGCCTACGCTAGACAAACGCTAGTATGATAATCCAATTTCACTCATATTATCACTTATCAAGTAATCAAGAAATAAAGTGCTTCTATCTCTTTTGTTTTAGGAAAAAATGAAAAGGACAAGAGACAACAAGATGAAACCTCAAATATACCGTTAACAGGAACGAAGGAGTCGGAAAGCGTTGATAGTCTTGGTAAGTTATTTATTTTGAAACTGCTTAAGAAGGGTAAAGTTTAATAATATCTTGTTTTGAACCGACAGTTTGACCTGTATGTTATGTTTGTGCGCAATTATCTCGCGACTGGCTGAACCGATTATGATGCGCTTTCCAATAAAGTGTTTGTTACACTTAGGAGAATGTTTTAGTATGTTATTATTTACTAACCGACTTCAAAAACAGAGTGGGTATAAGTCAGATTTTTTAAACGTAGTTTATATTTTGATTTAAATCCTGAACTTATATTATATTGTTTTCTCTTTCTCTTAACTCTTATTTAAACTTTGAAGAACCATAAGGGTTCGTACACAAAACTGCGATGCGACGTCGCATCGCAAAAATGTGCGAACTCCCTCTACGCATCGCAAGAACTTGCGAATTGATTCGCATCGCGCATCAAATTCTTATCTTCCCAAAATTTTCTTTGTTTCTTTTTCCTGTATCTCCTAAGCAATAACAGAAGTGCACACTTCTTTTAACGATCCATGTCACGATCTAGTTTCAATTTAAAATACGTTTGTACTAAACGTATTTTAAATTGAAACTAGATCGTGACGGTCGTCGAAGGAATGATCAACCTGGGAGACAACTTGTCGCACGAAATCGCATCGCAGCAATTCGCATCGTAATTTTCTGCGTTGCGAATTTGCATCACATTGCATCGCAGTTTTGTGTACGAGGCCTAAACCCCAATTATACTTTGCCTGTTCCAATAATCAAACCAGCAAACTCTTCCCTTACTCGACACGACACTTGTAAATATTTGACCCCAGAGGGCCAAGCACGAATAAATATCGCATTCGTATCGTAACAGTATCGAGCGAGTTAAGCGTTCTGATTGGTTGGTTTACTTGAGCCGGCCAATCAGAGCGCCGAACGCGCTCAATACTATTACGTTACGAATGCGATAGTTATTCGTGCTTAGAACTTAGTTATCTCTTTCTCACTCTCTCCACCTTACATTCTCACTTTATAACTTGCTTAACCTACAAAAACATCTCTAACATACAGCAGTAAGGCAGCTTACTCTATGAGTATCATATCTCATACCTCAGTGGCAATCCAAAGCTTAGAGAAGTCACAATACTAGATATACCACTGAGCGGACGGTACACTGTAATTTATACTCAGTTGCTTTATTTACATTTACAGTAGATCAAGTGGAAATTGAACTGGCTGGTAAATTTTCGATTCTATTAAAAAGACAAACGACGGAGAGGAAAGATTCACAAGCTTTTCTCATGGGACTTTCGCCGCAGAGCGTACTCTTCTACGATTATAAAATGCTGTTGAAGATGATAATTTTATAATATAAAAATCACTGATACACATCACACTAATATTATAAATGTAATACTTTCTTTGTTTGGATGTTTATCCGTCAATTAAGCTGAAACTACTAAACGGATTATGATGAAATTTGGTATACAGGCAGGGTATTGGCTGGCTTAGGTGATAGGATTTTTTCCCGATGAAATGCCCCCATGGGATAAAACAGCAATCATAAACGAAATCGCGGGTAACAGCCAGTTATTTATAAATAAATGTGAACAATTTTCGTAAATATTTAACCAATACCATTTGCCATTTAAAAGTAATATACAAAAGTAGTTTCACTATAAGTTACAGTGTCACGTCCACAATAAACACACACCTAAACCTGTACATATATTATACAGGTACATACTCAGGCTAAACTATAAGCCGGCCTGACCATACTAAGACCGCTTGGGATCAAACGGTCAAAAGCTAGACAAATGAATTACTACCTGAATACGTATATCTTGTCTTGAATGTTTCATTAGATTTACTCGGAATCTATCCTTTGAATTAGACCTTTTTAGAAAGGGTTGTCTAGTTGTAAAACTAGGGTTTTTTGTAATTAAATTCTTATTAGTTTTGCCCCCTTCCCTTCGGACCGCCAACCGGTGTAGACGTATATTCAGCCGTAATTCTTTATTTTCTTATTAAATTTAATAAAATAAACCACAAATTTAACGCAGTTAATTCATGCATAGTTATTAGGAGTGCATAAATTGAAGGAGCCGTTACCTGCTATCTGGTACATCTAATGAAGTCGACCGATCGAAAGGTATGAATCACTCGATTACCTGCTCCCGCGCATAGTAACGCCCCCGGAATGCGAAAGGCCCAACCTACTTACGCATCATTGGACGGTCAAGGACGGCCTACCAAGTAAAGTAGATCATCGCTGTGTGCAAAAACTAATTAACACGTCACACTACTAAAACGTTATCTATGCGGGCGTGGGATAGTGAGACCTACTTGCGTTTATGTTCTCCTGGTACATTGATCGGATAAATTTGAAAATATTTCGCAAGACAGTTCATCACTGTTTACCGACAGTTTATAAAGATAACACTATCTCATTGATCTAAGCCGGTCCGTTGTCCAGAATGGAGCAAAGTAGTGCCAAGTCACTTTCTGAATCTAACATTTCCGTACAACCCGAACAATGTACCCCGCCTAACTTCGTATCTAGACGATACAAGAGGTCAGTAGAGGATCTCTATAACTACGATACTGATTTTCACGCTTTTAAGGAGGAAGTTAAGGAACTAATATCGTCTTTGATGTTGCCACAAGAAGCAGAGATTAAAAAAATCTGTCAAACTTTAATGGAAATTAAATCCACTAATAACAACATAGAATCTTCCATTACTTTCTTGGCGGCGCAGAATGATGAACTAAAGTCCAAAGTGCAAATTCTTGAAGAAAAATCTAAAAAAGACGACGAATATATCACAATTTTGAAGGAAAAAATAGAGGATATGCAAAGAGGTATGAGAAAAGCTAGTTTTGAAATTAAAAATGTCCCTAAAATAACTAAAGAGTCGAAAGAAGACTTAATAAATATGACACTCTGTTTATCTAAGGAGGTGGGCTGTACCATTGCAAAACCAGATATTGGTGATATATATCGAGCAAGACCTAAACGAAACAACACAAAAAACAGTACTATTATAGTTGAACTTAAGTCAACTATACTTAAGTCGGAATTTTTGAAGTCATCTAAAAACTTCAATAGAAAACAAAATGGTAAATTATGTACAAAGCACCTTGGATTTAAAAAGGATGAAGATACCCCAATATATATCTCAGAGCAAATGACTACGAAAGGAGCGCGGCTGCACTTCCTGGCACGTGATTTGGCTAAATCCAGAGAATATAAATACTGCTGGACAGCTTATGGGAAAGTTTATATCAAGAAAGATGACAATTCACCTACTATCGTTATAAATAGTGAACAGCAGGTACAAAACCTTTTACAGCTCCAGTGACTAGTTTTCAGAAAATTACAATATATCAGCTACATTTTATACCTTCATAGATTTCTTAAAGTTATAAAATTAATCATAACCAAGTTAGACACTAATTTCAAAAATGTGTTATGTTTTGTTTACCGATCGCACCACAACATTTATTCTTCAATGCGTAAAACTATCTTCAATTCTAATACCAAACTCCTAAACATTCGAATCACGCATATCTCTTTTCACTCACACAAAATACACACACTCACACAGACACACACAATCATTCTCACTCTCACACGACATACAAATACGAATTTAATCATATTATCCACTATTTATAATCTTTATCATAATGGATACCAATCGACAAGCTCTGGATGACATCGACAATTCCGAAATAGCTCAAGTGTTTGATTGTAATATTACTGACTTTGCCAAGTTGGTTAAGGTTGGCGCGTCTGATTTTTCCATTGTGTCACAGAACATTAGATCTGTTTATACTAACTTTGATGATCTCCAATTGAACCTATTTAATCTTGGTGTGGGAATTGATCTCATAACCTTAACGGAATGCAGATTGAACTCAAATAAACCAATACCCCAAATTACTAATTATACTTCGTTTCAAACTACAAACCACATGAATAAGGCGGATGGGGTAGTCGCTTACATAAAAAGTACACACAAGACAAAAGTTAGAGAAGTGAAGTTAATACATGCGTCTTGTTTGGAGGTACATGTTGCACCTGACATTATAGTTGTAGCGATTTATCGATCCCCATCGACGTCGAATGCTGACCAATTTATTAGCTCTTTGGACGATTACTTGACTGCTCTTACATCAACTAAAACCATAATAATAACCGGAGATATAAATATTAACTTAATATATAATGATAATGAGCAGTCGTGCGCGCGTTCAAACAGACATAGCTATCTCAATATGTTAGCAATGCATGGCCTACTTCCCGGTCACCTGCTTCCCACTCGTGAAAAGACCTGTCTTGATCACTTTATAATAAAACTGAAACCAGGTATCCAAACTCCAACTGTTGCAATTATTCACACTACAATAACGGATCATTTCATGACTTTCTTAAAAATCACTTGTCATAAAAACTTAATTAGGCAACGGAAAATAAGGAAAGTTTTTAATTTAGAGGTTGGGTTAGAACACCTAACAGTTTACAACTTAACGGATTTATTGAAACTTGACAACCCTAACACTATTACAAATAACTTAATCAAAATACTACAAAATTGTGTCGAACTCAGTACAACTACTATGAGCATCCCTTTGAAAAATAGAACCCTAAAACCATGGATGACCGTTGGTTTACTGCGCTGCATCCATAATAGAAATCACATGCAAAAGAGACTTAGGCTTGATCCATATAATGAAGTGTTGAAAATCACATACAAGAGATATCGAAATTACTGTTGTACTATCATTCGAAAACAGAAACGTAAGTATGAGAGAGACCAACTTACTAAAGCATCTAAAAATCCTAAAAAAACATGGGCTATAATTAACGACATCACACAACGCAAACCTAAAAAAGACAATAACTCGGAACTACTACATAGTCTCACTGATCCACAAAACTCTGTAGAAAAGATCAACGAATATTTCTGTAATATAGGCAAATTGCTTGCTGAAAGCATCATCACCTCTCAATCTTCAACAACAACACGTTATAACACTGACTCATTTTCTTCTAACAGTCTTTTGACATCTTTTGTTCTTCTTGATACAGACCACGACGAAATTCGAGCGACTTTAATGAGCCTGAAATCAGACAGTGCCCCTGGCTGGGACAAGATACATGTTAACTTTATAAAAGCTGCACACATACAAATTGTACCAATTTTGACTCATCTAATTAACATATGCTTCAGGCATGGAATCTTCCCGGATGCTTTAAAAATTGCACTAATAACACCAGTATTCAAGTCTGGCGAAAGAACCGACCCATCTAATTATAGACCAATTTCAGTGCTACCATGCATTTCGAAAATCTTTGAAAAGATCATCAACTCACGTCTGATGAAATTCTTAAACAAATATAAAATACTCTCACCCTCTCAGTACGGGTTCAGGCAGGAAGGTCTACTGAGGATGCAGTTTTATCACTAACATCTGTTTTGGTGGATGGTGTGGATCGGGGAGACAGGTGTTTGGCGGTTTTTCTTGATCTCAGGAAAGCTTTTGACACTGTGTCTACACCTCTTCTATTGCAGAGGCTTGAACACATAGGTGTAAGGGGACATGCCCTTGAACTGTTTACATCTTACCTCAGCAATCGCAAACATAAGGTCAAAATCACTTCATATTCTAGTTCGGAGGCATCGGTAACCTTCGGCGTTCCACAGGGCAGTGTCCTTGGACCGACCTTGTTCCTTATCTACATCAATAGCCTCTGTACATGAAGATTGAGGGAGGGCATATTTTCTCTTATGCTGACGACACTGCCATCGTCTTCACTGCGAAGACTTGGGATGAGGTTCGTGGGTTGGCAGAGAATGGTCTTGCGAAGATAGCAGCATGGCTAAACCATAGCCTCCTAACGCTAAACGCTTCTAAATGTAACTACATCTGCTTTACTAAGTATAATAATTCGCAACCGCCTCAAGATTTCCAAATAAAAGCCCATATTTGCCACAACTTCCCAGCACTAGACTGTTCCTGTCTACCAATAGACAGGTTGCAGCACACCAAATATCTTGGCATCATGATTGATCAGCGCTTATCTTGGCACATGCACACCGAACTTATTATGAATAGAGTTAGGAAACTTATATGGTTGTTCAAAACATTGCGACATGTGACTTCAAGGCAACTCCTGAAGCAAGTTTATATGTCTTTAGCGCAGTCTATCCTCATGTATTGTTTGCCTTGCTGGGGAGGCACAACGAAAATGAAATTTTTGGAACTTGAGAGGACTCAAAGAGCCTTACTTAAGGTTATGTTCTTTAAACCCTATAGATACCCTACGCATGCCCTTTACTTATCAGCTGATCTTTTATCTGTTAGAAAACTTTACTTACTCCGACTAATACTGAAAAAACACATAACTCTCCCATACGACAATTGTAAGCCAAAAAACCGAAGAGACCATTTGGTCGCCCCAACTGTTAGGGTGAGATCTGCCTTTGCTAAAAGACAATACCCGAGGCAATCATCTTATTTATACAACTTGCTGAACAAAGAACTACGAATCTATCCCATGAAACTTTGGGACTGTAAAAAAGCTGTAATGGACTGGCTCAAAACAAAGACGTATGACGAAGTTGAGTCAGTTATAACCACTCTTTAATAACAGGATTATTAAAAACTGGGCTGGTGTGCATAGATATAATTAGTGAAGGTAATCTTTTCGGATTCCTTCGATCCCAAGACTTTGTCGTAGGGCTAATTGGTGAACTGGTTAATTAACAGATAAAAAAAAAAAAAAAAAAAAGAAAACCATATATCTCAACTCACACAGTTCCTGATAATCTTACACTCATATTTGCACTCACTCTTTCACTCACCTACTCACTCAATCACTCATACACATACTCACTATACATGATTGACATACTACACATACATACATTGTGCGATCTGGTATTTTCATAATAACATTCATTGTCTCTGCGATTAGAATTGTAAGTTTAACTTGATTTATTTTCTTCTTGTTTTATTGTTAATCTTGCATGTTTACATTATCTTCATTGTAAATTCAATTACTTAGAATGTCATGTGGAAGTGCGGAGTCTCCTAACACAAGCAATCCATTGCTTAAAAGGTGATCTCCAATAATTTTATGTAATGCCTTTTGTAATTGAAATAAACTTTTTTATTTTTTATTTTTTATTTTATTTATTTATTTTATTTTGCCCCTAAAGAAGATCTTTTTGGATGCAAATTAATGAATACTGGTCTAATAGACCACTAATCGGACAGTTAAAACGAAAATTCATAAGAAAATGGGTACATTTTGTGATAAATACCTAATAATTAAGATTGAAGAAATCATAACCGGTACCCCTACAATTACCACATCAAATATCCCTTGCATAACAACGACATATAAAATGAGGATGATGAGATGTAAGTTAGGTAATGAGCAAATATTAGACACGTATTTTTTTATTTTGTCCTATAATAAAACAAAACTTTGTAAAGATAAAACGAATCAAAGTTTAGGAGTGGGGGCTAAAACTAAAAACTCATTTCTTAGTATTAAATGTACATAGAAGTGACGTCACGCGACATTTCAAATCAATATATCTTCGAAACTATTCGTTTCCGTAAGAAAATAAAAAATACGTGTCTAATGTTTTTAAACAATCTACCAGACGGAAATTAAAATAAAAATTAGTTGTCTACCCTATTACAAAATTGAACATCATACCGCTAGTTTTTAATGCCAAAAAACCAGAACAAACACGTCTACAAAGTAAATCTCTTCAAACAAAAACAACAGAACCATTAATACAGACTTTATGATCTTTCTATCTTTCTTCCAGATAAAAATCCAGACATCATACCCCTAGACGGAAAAATCAGCGATAGCTGCTCAAACAAATCATCTACAACCGATTACAGCTCAATAAGACCACTCATATCAAAAACTACGGACAAATATGATTTATCTACAAATTGCGATCGATTCTATGACCATAACATTGATCCTTGCAACCAATACATACAAGTGCGTCCCATGGAATATAGACGACCAACATATGCGCCAACTTTGCAAATGCCCAATCTTGGACCGAGCATACAAAGTTTGGGACCAATGAGCAGCTTGCATATGCCAAATGTTGGACCCAACGATTGTCATAGACAGCCTTATGATAAGGTTTACGAAGATTGGTTGAAGTATAAGAATGCTTTGCCGTTGAATACCAGTGGGTTGGTGAGTATGAAATAATGAATTTAGCATATTTGGTAGATTATTTATTTATTTATTTATTAATTTATGTACACACATTCAACACAGAGGACAATACATAATGAAAAACAGAGTACATAGATTTTTTTTAAAAAAAAAAAACGTTGCCCCACACTAGAATTTTCTCCTGTGTCGTGGGTGCGTTTACAAACATACAATATCACATACACATGACACCCAGACTCGGAACAACAAACTGTGGATCACACAAAGAGTTGTTCCGTGCGGGAATCGAACCCGCGACACGTTGCGCGGCAGCCACCGCGCCAACCGTGCAGTCGATTAGATTAGATTAGCACAGTCTGCCTCGTTGGCCGAGTGGTCGCAAGTACGACTGCTGGCCAAGAAGTTACTACGACCTTCGACCTTCAAACCTTCGAGAAAAGAGCGTATTCCTTTTTAAAAGGCCGGCAACGCACCTGTGCCTTCTCTGGTGTTGCGAGTGGCCATGGGCGGCGCTCATTGCTTACAATCAGATGATACGTCTGCTCGATAACTTCCTATTCCAAAAATAAGCACGGAGTCCGGAATTATTGTGGTAATTTGGCAATAGACTCACTGAAAAGTGGGTGTTACATTGTAAAGTGGCATTAAGTGCCGTAATGTGCACCGCTGCCTACCACTTCGGGGATTAAAAGCGTGATGTTAAATTAAACTCTTGCTTCTCATGCATGAGGGTACGGTTCGAAACCTTCCAACGGCAAGTACCAACGTGACTTTTTCCGAGTTATATGTACTTTCTAAGATTATCTAGACACCACTGAGAAACGGTGAGGGAAAACATCGTGAGGCCTTATAATTTCTAATTATAAGTTTGAAATTGCCAATCCGCATTGAGCAAGCGTGGTGATTTATGCTCAAACCTTCTCCGTATTAAGCGCTATGAAGGAAAACATCGTGAGGAAACCTGGGCTTATAATTTCTAATTCTAAAGTTTAAAATTTCCAATCCGCATTGAGCAAGCGTGGTGATTTATGCTCAAACCTTCTCTGTATTAAGCGCTAAGTCCTGACTTCATGGCATCATTGACTATATGTATATACAAGCGAAAATCTCAATATTACTTCTTGATTTGATCATTCTTAAAATTCCTTTATCCGATTAAAAACACAACAAACATCACTAGCCAACCTCCCAAACAAATACTAACCTTTACAATTCCATTCCAGCTCCCAGCAGAGCAGCTACTACCACCAGAATTATACGCCACGCCACCTCCACCGTCTCTCTACAGCAACCCAAACAGAAACCCTTTAAACCTGACTCAAATGCCTGAGTTAGAACCTAGATACCACTTAGAGCCTAGGTCTCTAGCCATGGACTCCAGGAGCTGTTCCAGCTCGCCGCCTGTTAGATTCAACCCTGAGAATAATAGCGTGTACTTCAGTAAAGGCGTGCTGGATAGAACTACCAATACGCTGCCACATTTGAAACCTACTAGGATTAATGGTGAGTATAATTGGGTAGTTTCCAGGGTATCAAAATTAAAAATCTAATTAGTCCGTCAGATAGATAATGAAAAAATATTGGACACGTATTTTTTTATTGTTCGTATTAAGTTGCAATACTTATATAAAATGGCGCTAAATTTAGGAATGGAGGGTTGCTACGTCATAACGTGCTACAAGATGTGGCACGCTGTGACGTCACACGATATTTCAAATTAATATATCGTCAAAAGTATTTAATTTTGTGAGAAAGGAAAAAATACGTGTCTAATGTTTTAAATTAATGTACCAGATTGATTGATTGATACATCATTGCTTACCGCCAGGCGAGACGGTGGCCAAACGACGATTTATTAAGTATAAAAAAAAATCAAAAGAATGCTTTTGAGTTTTGAGTTTTTTGAATAAAATGTTTAAAACAATAAATAATTGGTGAACCATTCCAAAACTTCGAAAGCGCTTACGAAGTCATAGTACATTATCCAAACATCTCGCCATATTGTTCCATAATGATTTTCTTACAATATTTATTAAGTCTAATTGATATTGAAGTCTAGTTAAAAAAGTAATTAGTACTTTAATATGACATTATCTTCGTTTTTTTGTAAAACTTACACTAGCCTTCAGTATCTGCTTCTTTAATGAACTATTCCTTTTGAACGCTAGGGACAACTAAGATCCGTAATCTCTACTACTATTTTATAAGAAAAGTAGGGACTTAAAAGTAATTAATTTCAGTAGATTGATTTTAAAATTTAATTGAAAACTGTAGTTTTTAAACTGTCAAACACCGAGCGGTCACCGGTGACCGCAACCTATTGTTCTTTAATTGTGTCTATAAATACGGTACTCGACGAATTAAAAGGCTTTATAACGTGGGAGAGCCATGCTTCGGCGCGAATGGGCCGGCTCGACCGGAGCGATACTACGGCCGAACAGAAAACCGACGTGAAACTACGCTTGCGTTGTGTTTCGTCGTGTGGGTGAGGTTACCGCAGGCCCAATTACCCCTCCTCCCCAGTCTCCCCAATCCCGGAATTCTCCACAGTCCTCAAATTCCCAATTCCCAAAAGTTTAGGTAACGCACTTGTAACGCCACTGGTGTTTCTGGTGTCCATTGGTGACGCTGATTACTTACCATCAGGTGATCCGTATGCTCGTTTACCGGCTTATTCCATAAAAAAAACCTAATGGTCGTCTATCGAACCCAATCGGATTGACTTTGTGAAGCATTTATTTCAATTAAACCATAATTTGGTACTTTTGAAACGTCAACAAATATGAAATAAATAATAGTATGTCAGTCTGTCCGTCAGTGAAGCTAGCCTGCTCGTTCCAAAATGTCGATTCGAGTGGAGAAGAACGAGAAAGAAACTCCATTCGTTACTCTTTTAAAAAAAGTCTGTCATGACTTCAAACAGTAATAATTTAGCTACATTCTGATAACATCAGACCCAGAAAATACCCCCCTTCCGTCCTTTCGAAAACAAACAAAAAGTACAGTCACCGATAAAATACAGACACCACTTGGCAATGTTGTATAACACTCGAAATTTTCCACTGCCACAGTAATTGCCCTGCGGTTTCACATTAATTAAATTCAGTAAACAAAACTGTCCAACAAACCTATATAATCATATTATTATATTCAGACTCACGAAAAGATAAATTGTCCCCGTTTTCATAATAAAAAATGGTTGTTTTAATAAGTAGTCTGAATTATGGAATGAAGTAGGTACTCGAAATAAGAAATGGTCGTGACAATTCCTTCTACTTGATATTTATATAGCGTTGAATTAATTAGGTCCATGTTTTAGTAAAAAGAAACTAATTTCGTTATAATTAGGTTTGATTTTGTCTTGTTTCATGTAGTGGTTTGGGTGGTACTGTGAATTGGTTAGAATTACGAACTGTTATTTAGAATTTATTTGAAACACTGTTGTAGAGGTAGTTATACGTTGGGTCGACTTTGGTCCATCTGTATGTATTAATGACGTGGATAATATTTAATGTATTTGCCTCTCCAATTTGATTCGATTTTAAGTTCCGAAAAAAATACTCAACCATAATTATTTTTATCTGGTTTCTTACAAATATTTCCATCCAAAGGTTGTCTGGAAGAAATCACCATTGTGTGATAAGACCGCCCATTGTACGCATATTTACTTGAATTGTTTGTTTTAAACTACATAAATGTGTACAATAAAGCATATATAAATAAATAAATAAATAAATATTTTCAAATTAAAAGTCACTGTAATTATGAAATTGTGCAACATTTCATTAAATTCCCAAATTATGAAAACACCTAAACATTGTCGTTCATAGTCGAAACTTTTTACGCCAAACAACATCAAACAACGTTTTAAAAACAAACATTTCCTTTTCGCAGGAAACTCCCCAACACAGCTACAGAGTGATCCAAAAACTGTCACAAAATCCACGGACACTTCACTAGAACCAGTGAAAATGGCAAAAGAGTGTGAATGAGACAAAAAATACTAGAAAGGACTTTAGATCCTTTCAAACACTTCACAAATATGGACAAAGTGACTCAAGTGTGGACTAGGTGAAATGGCCTCGTGTTAAGGCCAATGGCCTAGGAATTATTGGCCTGTGTGCGTTTTAAAGGTGTTGAGTGTACTTTAATGTGTGATAAACATTCGTCAAAATCGTTTTGGAACTTTGGACCCGTCCGTTGTGATTTTATTATTGATTTTCTACTCAAAAACGTGATTTTTGTTTTCTAAAATTGATTTATACAAATTGTTAATGTTTCAATAAAATTATTTGATAATTTCTTGCCAAAATTAATTTATTATAACGCCAATAAAATTCGACATAATAATGTGTAAAATAGATTATTTCTATTATTTGATTATATGTATTAGAATGAACGATAATGTCAATTTGATAGAACGAAACAAATGTTTAGATTGTAAAATAGTTTTGCATCTTTTCACAAGATGTGTAAGACTGAATTTGTGTAGCGATTACACATGTTTAGATAAAACAATTCTTTGATTACATTATTGTAATTAATTAACTAAGATAAAAAATAATTACCGCGCAAAAAATAATTATCATACTTATGAAATAATAATTCGTTTGCAAAATTGGAAAATATTAATGAATCAGTGTTTGTTTTTACTAATAATACGATTATTTAAAAGGAGATTAGTTAAACAAAATATAGATAAGTACGTTGTGAATGTATATAGTGTAAATATTTAAGTACTTATGTTATACGAAAAGTTGCCATAATAGTTAAATAGTTATTAAAACATGTATCTAAAAATAAACTAATATTGTCACAAAATCGAGCTTTTATGTTATGAATGATAATTTAATTTTGTTAGCGAAAGGAATGGCAAAATGTACGGAGAAGATTTTTCCGAAAAATATACGAAAATAAGAGAAGCAACACTTGAAAAGTGGAGATGTTAAAAATATCGTATTGCATGTTAATCTACGGATTTGTTATTTTAAAAAAGATTTCGGAATATTGAAAGCTTACTCGTGGTGGGACAAGCGATGTTGTTTAAATGTAAATTATATAAAATATTACATAAATATAAATAAATAATTAATGTGATAACAAAATGATTCAAGGATAAAACATCTCAGTTCACGATGGAATTTTAAATAAATTTTCCCTTTTTAAAGTTTCCCTATTTGGCCTAAAATTATTAATAATTTATTAATTAAATAATTCATAATTCTTTATCCCTTTTATATTTATTGGCATTACATTACATAAATAAAATTTTAAATTACATTTGAAATGAATGCCGTAATTTTGTAATAGAATTGTAAATCGTGTCTTTCATTACGAAATTTTAAATTAAAAGATGAAACGTTTTTATAATATAAATGGAAAAAGTTTGAGAATTATACATGATATTCATTGTTTAAAAACTTCGTGGACTGAGCACTGAGAATAAATATTAAATTTTATTTTAAATAATTAAAATAGTTCATTTTCTTTTTAAAAGTGTTTGATTCAGACCATAATTTTACAGCAAAATAGATTTTTATTAGTAGAATATTATTTTTAATGTAAAAATAGTACCATGACATAGATTTCATAGATATCGGTTTAAGGTACAGTCGCTACAAAAATAGTTAAGTCACCAAATAATTTTGAATCAATAACATTGTTTTTTTTGTTTTACAGACGATTTTTTATTAATGATAAAAATAATAACTTTACTAATAAATGCTTAACTATTTATCATCTAAGAAATGTTACATTGTAAGCGACTGCACCTTGCTTTAAGTATTAATTTCCTTTATAATTATTGTATTATAATTTATATTAGCATTTTGTAAAAACAAAACAAATTTTTAAGTGATTATTTCGTTTTTTTGTGATGTAAAATTTCCTTGGAAATAATAAATGTGAATTTATAACACTTAAATGGTTTTATTTCCTAAATTTCCCCCGGCCTATTCATTTGGGACGAGCATTGAATCCGCAAATACTGTTAATTGACTTGAAATATTACTGTTTTCAACGACTCGTTGGGTTTACGCATTTCCACAATCTTTCTAAGTTCTTTTTTATTTTTGGGTGGATCGAACACATATAGAAATATTTTAACACATTTTTTTTATATATTATATTTAATGGGGCGACGTTTGACCACTAACTCGCCTGATGGTAAGCGATAATGCGGTCTAGGATGGAGCACGTCGTCCCATAAGCAACCCAGGTTATATCCTTCAGGAAATACAGACTCTGGCAAAGAATTCCACTCTTTAGCAGTACGCACAAGGAAGCTTGAAGCGAAGCGCTTCGTGCGTGTGGGGGAACATCTACCATGAATCGATGACACTTCGCCAATTGTCTTGTGGTACGATGATGGAAAGGACTAGGGGGGATCAAGTTGTGCAATTCCCTCGCACACTCACCGAAATGTATCCGGTAGATATATACACACATACACAAAGTATTTATAGAGACACCTGGCGTCAAAGATTTTAGACCAGCTACTAAGTACTGGTATCCTGCATAGATAACTAACTACTAACTGCCTTTTACTTACATTTATTTTGCATTTCACACTAAAATTCTTACTTAATTTGAAACAAAGACATGCACAAATCCAACAAAACACGAAACAATTATGTTCTACATTTGCTCACCCATTAAGTCATCAACATTTTAAACACAAACAAAAACCACCAAGCGTAAACATATTTTGTCGTTGACTGTACCCAAAAGCTACTGGACCGCAAAATCCCATAGCAATGTCAAACAATATTGTTTGTTTTCCCCATAACGTGACATGGGAACTTGACAACATAAATATTATGACTTCGCCTGGATTAGAACCGTATTTTTGTCAACATAGGAAAGAACACGCGTAACAAAAATTTTTGTGTGTGTAGATAAATATCCTTTTTTCGAAAACTTGATTTATAACTTAAGGTGCTTAATTTTTTTATGTGGTTAGTAGTCATATATCGCCACCCATTTTTTTTTGAGGGGGGAAAATCATCAGGCCCGAGTGAGGCGAGAGGGAGTGTCAGACTCGTACTGACTAAAAACCACCACGTTCCTTCTCCTGCACTTCGAGCCGGAGCCCCGGCAACTCTTCAAGCCCTCCACGGCTCTGTATCGGCATCAGTCCTATGGGGCTCCATCTGTGGTGGTCTGATGGCTCCTGGCGCGCCCGGAACGCGACGCGCCGTACGCTCTGGTCTGGTTCTGGTCGGACGGCGAGCTACCCGTGTTCGCTGTCTGCAGGCCCGTGATTGCGGTCCTGCTATTCCTATGGGTATAGTTAAATTCGGTGTTGAGACCTGGGCGCTTACTACACATAACATAACATCACGCCTTTTATCCCCGAAGGGGTAGGCAGAGGTGCACTTTATGCCACTGTACAATGTAACACCCACTTTTCACTGTTTATGTTATGAGTCCCATGTAATAGGGGGTGAGCCTATTGCTATTATACCGGGCACAATTCCAGACTCCGTGCTACAACTGAGATTTTTTTTTTAAAAACCCAGTACTTCTTTTCCGACCCGGGAATCGAACCCGAGACCCCTTGCTCGGCAGTCGCACTTCCGACCACTCGGCCAACGAGGCAGTCTGGGCGCTTGCTCTTGAAACAAATCTGAATGTCCACGCAATTTCAATCCAATAAAATCTCAATAATTATTCAATGTCAACACTATACAACCACAATCGTAGCTGTTAAAATAGCATTCAGAATATTATGGAATATAAAGCCAAACTTAATACCATTTAGTTCATTCAATATCCACGCAATACGGATGCAATGGGCGCTAGTGTTGCAACTCAAGAGTACGAAATTTCACAATACCAATGTTGATCGATCGGAATTGGATTCAAGAGTAAGCAGCTGGTAAGCATCGTTCTCTGATACATCCGAACCTTTTAACCTACGACGTCACCTGGATCTGGAGATTAGGTAAACTTAGGTTCTATTAGGAGATTTACAATGCACTGACACACTTTATGCGCCGAAGGGGTGCATATACAGGGTATAAAATGGAACGCAAACCAAATCCACTACAATTTTTACAATTTTAATAGTTTTTATTCTCAATTGCATCAATTGATCGATATGCAATCATAAAATAAACATTTAATTTGACGGTTGGTGCGGTGGCTGGGCTACCGGCTGCCGCGCATCGTGTCGCAAGTTCGGTTCCTGCACGAAGCAACTCTTTGTGTAATCGACGAATTGTTGTTTCGGGTCTGTGTATCATGTGTATGTGAAATTATATGTTTGTAAACGCACCCACGTTAGGAGAAAATTCTAGTGTGGGGCAACGTCTGTAAAAAAAATTTACTTTTCCAAAATTAAAACTCGTCCTTTACTACCTATCCTGTCTGAATTTCTTGATAGGATTCCGTTTATAGGCACTCAGTGCAACACCCACTTTTCATCAGTTGTGTTATGATTATCTTAATAGAGCCGAATTTATGGCTGAAAAACTGCATCAACTTACTAAATCTCCATCGATTATCCTCAATAAAATTTACAATAAATCAAAGATAACCTTAAGGATTAAATATTTAAGGCAATTTTACCCCAATTTACACTACACCACGTAATAATAAAAACGTTTACGAAATTATACCTAACTATATTTAAATAAAATTGCTCCAATTTCGGCGCGAAATACCGCCGCCATTTTGGAAATTGCAACGCAGTTATTGGTACTCGAAAATATTGTGATCGAATTTTTTTGTTTTTCCATGTCAATAAAAATATTTTTCGATTTATTTGTTAATATTTTATTGATTTTCATAACCAACTTGATATTTCTACCTATTTACATGTTTCCTTTTTTGTTTTCGGTTTTTATAATGCGTGTTATGGTAGACATTCCTATAGAATAGGATAGGTAACGCAGGCACATTGCTCACGTGCCACCGTGCATAGCGAGGCTTAGGGAAGATGCGTATTTTTTATGGCATAAGCCGGTAAACGAGCAGACGGATCACATGA